GACCGTCCGGTCTTCGTAACAGACTTTCCTGCCTCCATGAAGCCCTTCTACTGCGCCTCCTCCACCGCCGTCAATGGGTCGCTGGCCTGTGTACAGGCCGTCGACTTGCTGATACCGGGTATTGGGGAACTGGTTGGCGGCTCCGTTCGTGAGACGGATCACGCTGCGCTGGCAGAGAAAATGCGCCGCCAGGGTTTGAATCCACAAAGTCCCTCTATGGCCTGGTACCTGGGCCTTCGAGGGCACGGTGGCGCACCACATGCTGGCTTTGGTCTGGGTTTTGATCGACTGCTTCTCTGGATGCTTGGTGTCTACAACATTCGAGATACCGTACCTTTTCCACGGGAGCTTGAGAAAATCTACATGTAGTTTTGCTAGCGTGGGAATTTTTTTCTGACCATGTTTGTTTTCATTTCGTATGTATAATACTTAGGCAGTTTTATGTACTTTAGCAATATATTGAGGAAAGCAAAGTTTTTAGAACATATCGGGTTTTTATTTCGATATAAATTAACAAAGTTCGTCCGAGTTTTCTATTACCGCTAGTATTGCCTTGGCCACGGCGTTTCACTTGTATAAGCAGGGAAGGAGAAGATAGGAACCCGAAAAAGATACACGTGGGGCCCGCTATCGCCGCGACAAGTTTTTTGCAGAGCGGCTATCCGAAGGCGTTCGTGAGCCTTTGTCTACGTCTTTTCCCCGCGGAGGATCCAGCTAGACAAAACACCTATAGTATAGGAGGTGTCCGAGGCGACCGTAAGCATTGCTGTTGGACTAGGTTTCGGAATTTCGCACCGACACAAATCTACCATTCGCAGTTTGGTAATAAAAATAAAAAAAACTGATGGAATCCCAGTGAGCAGTCGGATATAGTATACCGCATCCCGTGTTGAAACTGTACTTGACACAGAGGTCAGACTGGACGCATGCTCAGATTGCGCCTACATGAACATAATCTGGCTGTTAGCAGGGGTGGCCTACTATCTCGAATGGTCACTCATACAGCCGAAACGAGTCAGAAGTTTATATGCACAGGTAGGCCTATTCTAGTGGCCTTACGTCGAGTGCAGGCGCACTTGCGGCTGCTAACAAGTGCGCAAACACCAACGTCTGCCTACCGCAATTCTTTCTGGCCAATCACCTCCCTGTGACTAACTCATTCATGACCGCACTGTAGACGATGTGATGAGTCCCACGCTCGCACGATTTGGATGCCAGCGCCCTAGCAGATGGTTGGGCAAAAGTAGCTTATGTAGGCCCACTCATATACCCGTAGTCCCAGCATTTT